ACCCTTAGATGTACACTAGGATGAGATGCAATGAATCAATCCTCGTATCAAACGCGATTCATGGTTGAGTTTGAGATTAAAGGTAATTAAGGGTCCAGATCTATTATTACGCTTCTTACCTTAACTCTTATTATCACACAATACTTCATATATCATATTATACACACATATATATATATATATATAGAGAGAGAGAGAGAGAGTGTATTTAAATTCAGTTTTTTTGAATTTGTTAATCTTTATCGCATGTTACATGTGTTGGGGGATTTGTATAAGGATTTAAAAGAGTTTTTATGTGTAGCTTTCAACCCTTTTGAGTTTCCAGTATTTTCTACACTTAGGGCTCGTTTATCAAACGCTTACCCTGGTAAGCGCTTACCAAGTCATATTACCTTTACGGATGAATATGACAATAACCAAGAGTCTTACCCAATAAGAGCGAGACAAAGACCAAAAGTCTTACCCAGTAAGTGAAGGTAACGACTCTTACCACAGTAAGAGCTTACTGGGTAAATTGTTGCGTATGGTGCCGTTTTGATGGACTAGAATCTTACATAGTAAGCAAGTAATAGTGTTGAATTTTATCAGTAAACACTTGTCAGACAAGTTTTTGGTAAACAACCCTTTAGATAGCTAACTAAAAGAACTATATAAAGCTTCTTGTATATGGAAGTGCTTAGAGAGAAAAGCTGATGCAAATCAAAAGTTACTTAGACTCAAATGGGACGAGGAAGCAACAACAACCTTTATTTTGCTCTTAAACAGGCCATGACAAAGCCTCCTGTGCTAGCCTTACCAAACTTTAATGAGATAAAGAGAATATATGTTAAGAACAAAAATGGACTAAACCTAAAACGATTAACAATATGAAACTAAACATAAACCATTAATGATTTAAACCTAAAACCAAATAATTAATGGTTTGAACATAAATAATTTCGGTTATACTTTTACATAAAATCGATAAAAAGACCCTGAACACATGCAAACTTAGGCCCCCAATTTTCGAGGGGCCTTGTTCAGAATCTCACATTTAACATGCTAAGGGACGACCCTGAAAAATTGAGTTCTTACCTACTCGATAGACATTTTGTGATGAAACCGATCAACAAAGTCTAAAACACCTGTTCGAAAACAAGGTTAACACTTCGTTTCAACATAGATGGTGTAACACTCAATTTTTTTCTTATAAATTTCAATATTTAATAAAATAAATTTGGGGTTAGAATATTTTCAAATTATGGAAATAATTATGGAAGATTTTTTAATTTTGGTGGATATTAATTGGAGATATTAATATTGTTTTTAAAATTTTGGAAGTAGGATAATTTATGTATGGAAGGGATTTGAAATTTGATTGAAATTGTGAAGTAAAGCGTGGAGAGGGACCTGAAATGCCAATTCTTGAAAGATGAAAATTGAAGGGATTGGATGGGATTAATAGCGATTGCATCCTTTCTATAAAAACCCAAAATTCTACCTATTTAAAGAGGGGGTCGGCTGAACCCTTTTGAGGTTTTTTTATCGTCGACATTTTGGGAGGTTTTGGCTTTGGAATATCGGGAAATGGTGCAACGAGGAACGATATTGAAAGCGGTCGAAGTGTGTCTCGTTTTTCGATAATGATTTGTTGGGTTAAGGTTATCATTTGGAGCAAAGTTTTAACGAACCTACACTATCCGGTGAGTCTTTCACGAGATTTCACTGAGATGTATATATACGTACAAACTATACATGTATGAGGTGTGGTATTATATTTATGTTTGTTAAGGTGTTAATTACACGTTATTTGTAATTGGAGAATTACATGCATATGGTTTTAAATTATGATGCATGCATGCTAAATTATTTACATTTATTATACATAAATCGCATGCATATGGTTTGGGGTTCGGGTTAATATGGTGCATTAACCGGGGTATGAGATATCGGCTCGATACGTCACATTTAGGGGAGACACGTCCCGTAATGGGTGGTTAATTCTTTGTGAATCTACAAGCCCAGGGCATGCCTGTGACATGGGCAAGTCCCTACCTAACGGATTGGAGTTAAGAGATCTCGTCGGGACGGTATTTTCGATAAGAATTGCATGACACTCTTTTATTGACATTTATATACTCAATTTGTGTGTATTTGTGGTTGCACGTAAACCGTGAACTCATTGAACTATTTAGCTGACTATAGTATACATCTCAGGAGCCGGATGTTCTGGAATCGACAAAAGCAAGGGGACTCGCTTATGATTTTATCTTTTATTAAATTGGGTGTTTGTTTAAGCATTTTGAATTTGGTTTGGTTGTTTTTAGTGACTTGGTATAGGACGGGTTAACTTTTAAGATTTCTTTAATTATGATGGTTAAACTTCCGCTGTAAACGTTTTAGGTTTTATTATCGGAGCATTGAATGATGTAACATTTTCATTTGGCAAAAAAAATGGGGTGTTACATATGGTTATCTAAACTTTTGAGCTACGACTATGAAATTTGTTACAAAAAGGGTATGGAAAACAAGGTTGCAACTGCTTTATCGAGAGCCACTCATGGAGAACTACTATAATTGGCTATTTATGGCATCCATTCTAATCTTTATAGCCTTATTAAAGCAAGCTGGAAAATGACACAAATTTAAAGACCATAGTAAATGAGATTCAAAGTAGGAGCCGACAACATTCTCAATTCATATGGCAGAACCAGAAATTAAGGCGGAAAGGCAGACTGGTTATAGGGAGTTATGATGATTTGAAAAGCAAAATTCTGGCATAGATGATGATTCCCTTCAAGGAGGGCACTCGGGTATCACTGCTACTCTTAAAAGACTGATAACACTTTTCTTTTGGCCCAAAATGAGACAAGACGTAGTCAATTATATTAGAAATTGTCCTACTTGCCAAAAATGCGGTTCAACCTGGATTGTTACAACCACTACCGATTCTTGAAGGAATATGGGAAGATATTGCCATTGATTTCATCAAAGGGTTTTCGAAGTCACAAGGTATAGATGTCATCTTAGTTGTTATTGATAGATTAAGTAAATATGTCCATTTTTTTTAGCTCTGATGTGTCTCAAGTTTTTATGGATAATATCTACAAGCTCCATGGGTTCCCTAAATCTATAGTATCAGATAGAGATGAAAAAAAATTATTAACAAATTATTATTTTATCTAAACAATAATACTTCTGTAATTTGTTTGGGTTGAACATATTTAATTTATATTTAAATATGCATTTGATATTTATTTGCTTTATGTACATGACTTTATAGATTCATGTTTTATTAGTCAATAGAAGGATACTCGTGCAATGCAGCGWGATACATATCGATTTTAATGTTCTATTTTATTATTTGTCTTTGTCGAAGTTATAATACGATTTTATGTGTTTTTTAAGAAAAGAACAATGATTTTATTTTTGAATAAAAGATAAATTTGAAGATATCACAGAAATTTGAAAAAAAAATATTTATATTAATATCAAATCAACTATTTATAAGTTTTCATTTTTTATRTAATTTCTTTAATTTATTTTTTWATTATAATTTAATTTAWGTTTAATAATGAAATAAYTTATTTTTGGTTTAATARTATAACATTTTATAAARMTAATAATTAAGTATTCTGTTAGAACTCAATGATTATCCTAATTATATTTTAGATTTTTATATTTAAAATGAGATGTTTATCCTGTATTTGATTATGTTTATCTGCAGTTAGTTACACGAATTCAGATATGGAGCTTTAATAAGTTGTACTTACGCACGATCTACTTGTAATCTTGAATTTTAAGTAATATGCATTAATAAACAGTACTTTACGCATAAAAAGTGGTTTTTAAAAGTTTTTGTCAAATGCTTTATAATATAGTATAGATATTGTAACATGTTGTGTCTTATACACGTAAAACCAACATGTATAAAAAATAATATTGAAATAAAAAAATAATCAAAATAAAAAAGAAATCCATCTTTCGAACGATGCCTGTGAATTATGTAAAAAGCCACCGTCTTAAAAGCAAAATTTTGCATCACTATGATGCAATCAAAATGTTCCTTGTTCTAAAAGTATACGCAATGAACCTTCAAATTAGGATGAAGATATGTTTTCTCACACTCATGTCTTTAGAGTCGGGTTACGTGCAAGCAGTTGATGTCGGTAATCAACTTTTGCCCAAAAAAATACGTAACACATATATACCTTATGCATGTACTCACAGGGTTGAGTTCCGGTGAGAAGAGGAGTTAAGTTAAGAAGCGTAAAAAGTGATATTCACCATTGGATGCAAATTAGGATGAGATGCACCAGACCAATCTACGTATCAAGCGTGATTTATGAGTGAGTTTGAGATTAAAGATGATCAATGGTACATATCTCTTTTACGCTTCTTACATTAACAGTCTTTTTCAGACGATCCTTCATATGTACACACATTTATACACATTTCAAAAGTAAAATTACAAGGAGTCCATACCAATTAGAATAACCGGCATGAACATTTTATTAGACGACTGAGTACCCTCACATCATTAACACGTGAGGTGTTTAACAGAAATAACTTAACAACCATCAAGATCATAAACAAAATCATTAACACAATAAATGTCCAGTACAACTACAAAAATCGAGTGATGAAAATCAAAGTTTCCTTGAACCACATAACAAGTTGGTGTAATATACTCCAAAAACAACCATATATTTTACCAAAAGGCTTTCGGTCTAACAGTATCGTAGTCTTTGGCCTCTTAGAAAGTCAGGGGTTCAAACCTTATCAAAGATGAATATGATGTTAATTTGTTGTATTTGTCGTATATAAATATTAATAAAACTCCACAGGATATTTTAAGAAGTTGGTGTCAAAATTGACATGTCTGTCTGTGATTCTTGGACGTACACGTCTCTTTTTAATGTCTGAACGTTGAGAATAAAATTACAAAATTGAAGAAAACATAAAAATGAAATAAAAATCAAACGGAATAATCGAGGCATCTACGCATCTCTTTTCTATACAAAAAACCTTTGATAATCTCTCCCAAACTAGGGCACCTCTGCATTACGGTCACACCCCAATCATCATGATCGACGCCACAGGCTCAATTGGATTCCGTTTTGGCGGTTTATAGATTTTTATATCCATTTCCATTTCCTTGAATTCATAATCGATTCCTGGTTCAACCCGCCTCTCAAATCACTAAAAAGACCACGTATATTTACTATTGACCTTGAGTCGGTGAGCTGGTTTTTATGTCAAAATCGCAATCGTTCATGTTCTATTGAAGAATACCCATCTGGGTTTTCTCTAATTTCAGGTAATTTCGATTAATTAGCCGAATTAGCTTCTATTTCATATGCATGTACGTATACGTAACTTCCTCTTTCTCAATTCAAATCGTTTCCTTTTAACAATTTTCAAAGGGGATTGTAATTTTGGGGTGGATTTATTTAAATGAATTTGTACCAATTTCATAACGGTTGATGGGTTTTTGGCAGAAAATGGGCAAAAAGGGTGGTGTTGAATTGATTGATAACCATCAAAGGATTGATGGGTCATTAACAAGAGAAGAAGGAAAGGGGAAGAAATTGTGGAAGAAGGTGAAATATCAGCTGGTTGAATACCACTCATTGCCTGCGTATATGAAAGATAATGAATTCATATTAGGTCATTATCGTGCTGAATGGCCTTTGAAACAGATCTTTATGAGCATCTTCACCCTTCACAATGAGACCCTTAATGTTTGGACGTAAGAACATTCACTCCCCTTTCTTGATTTTCTTTACAAATTCGATTATATATATATATATATATATATATATATATATATATATATATATATACACATATATAGGTTTTTCTTGGATTCTGTATGGCTTGATTATCTGGGGTTATTGGTTTTTTGCTTCTATCAATTGTGTGTTTGTTTCAAATTTGGTGATTTTTGGATTCTGTATGGTTTGATTATCTGGTTTCTTGGCTTTAGCTTCTCCCAATTTTGTCTATTTGATGGATGTGTACAAGTGTTAATGCATGTAGTACAAACTTGATGCATGCTTGTGGTTGTACTCATATATGTTAGCTGATTGAATTCCAGGGATTCATGAATGAACCAAACCAAATTAAACCCAGCATATCCAACTGTTATCAAAAGTAGGGTATGGGGTGTGATGTATGCACTCCTGTCATCTATCCCAAAGAGTAGAGTGATTATTATGTGCCACTACTTTTGAAAGTAGGGTCTAGGGTCTGATGTATGCAAATCTGTCATTTATCCCAAAGAGTAAGGGCTGATTGGCAGTTGCTGAATGGTTCGATGCAGAATGATTAAGTGGTCAAAATGATTACGACGCTCTCATGATATAGTACAAAATGAAATATAATTGTTTGGTAATTGTTTACAATGAAATCAGGGCGCTTAATGGTTAAGGGAGGCCCAAGATACAAAATCATTCAGAGGGTTTTAGAACCATTAAGAGGCAGACATTTTTTTGCCAAACAAGATTTACCTCTTAACGATTCAGAATCTGCCTCTTAATGGAACTATTAAGAGGTAAACAAACAACTGTTTGATTTTAAACTAGAGGCAAGTCATATGAAAGTCATTGAGCTAATTTTGTTTTCAGAATGCCATCCTCTTAACTGAAAACTCATTTAAGGTCACTTATTCAAAGGACCCGAGTAAAGATCATTGCTTTTAGTTTTTTTTTTTGTCTATATATTGTTTCTTTTTATAAAATTCTCATTTTTAAGGACATCATGTTGCTTTTGCAGACATTTGATTGGGTTCTTCCTCTTCCTAACCCTAACAATTTATAGCGCGAAGATGATCCCGAATGTAGTTGATCTACCCACCCTAAAAAACTTCCCGGATGTGTTGAGGAAAGCCGATCTGCATCAACTTCGTGAAGACCTTTTAACTTGTATTCCTTCGTTGCCAAATATGCCTGATTTGCACAAACTCCGTTCAGATATAAAGACTACGTTTCCTGCATCGTCGGATCTTTTGCCATTGTCGAATTGGCATATCGTAGAACTCCTTACAAATTGCTTGCCTGAGCGGTTCTCCCATAGCAACCATACCGATGTTTGCGTGCTGGTAACACTCTTATCTTCTTTTTGGCACTTTTCATTAGTACTCGTCGAATGCTAGTTATGTTATGAGAATAATATTCAACTTTTGATGGCAAATAAGTTGAGTTTTGACTTCAAAATTGCGGAATTGGTACTTGGTAGGCATAATATGCTTTATGATAAGATATGCTAAGTCAGGGGTCTATGCAGAAACAACCGTTCTACTCTTTGAGGTAGAAGTCAGGTTTGCATACATCTTACCCTCCCCAGAACCCTTTTCATTTTACCCTCCCCAGACCCCGTCTCCTGATTGGATATATTGGGCTTGTTTGGTTTCGTTTGGTTTTGGATAAGATATCCGACATGTGAAGATATGTGGAACCTTTTGAATCTATCTGTTCCAACATATATTGAGCAGAAATGGACAAAGACACAGCTGATGTGGGGCTCTAATGGAGGCTAGACGGATATAGATGCCCTAGAGTGACATTAGTACTAATACCATGTGAGATATGCGGACCAATCAAATTACTCTAAAGGAGTTCTTATAGAAATGGGGGAGAGGTGTATAGGCTGCAACCTAAAAGTCGTATGCGTCGTTGATTTAGCATCACATGTGTATCATATGTGATGGAATATAGCATCACATGTGATTGACTATTGTAAAAGGGTGTTATTGCGTTCTTGTAAAATGAAGGTATTCTCGTTTGAACCCTTCCCTATATATATGTGCGTTCTTGTAAAATGAAGGTATTCTTGTAAAATGAGGGACATTCAGTTAAATAGCGTGATACCGGGTATTTTGTTAAATGACCTTCTATGAAAGTCACTTTAACAAACCGAGCTTTGAGTGTTTTTCCAAGATAATACCGTTTAACACCGAACGCACGTCATTTGAATAATCTTTCCCCGATTCTTTTTCAGCGTAGCATGAAGGAGGATGTGGCGAACATAATAGCACCATTGATGATTCGACCCATAACACGGTGGCCGTTCTTCGCGTTCTTGGGTGGAGCCATGTTCTGCCTCCTAGCAAGCGCCGCCTGCCACCTCCTCTGCTGTCACTCCAAGCGGCTATCCTACATCATGCTCCGCCTCGATTATGCCGGAATTGCCGCCCTAATCTCCACCTCCTTCTACCCTCCGGTCTACTACTCCTTCATGTGCCACCCTTTCTTCTGCAATCTTTATTTAGGTTTCATCACAGTCCTCGGAATCGCCACCATCTTGGTCTCACTATTGCCGGTTTTCGATCAACCCGAGTATCGTAACATCCGAACCGGATTGTTCCTCGGGATGGGGTTATCGGGTGCGGGCCCCATCTTTCACAAACTGATCTTGTTTTGGCATCAGCCGGAGGCGGTACATACGACAGGATATGAAATCTTGATGGGTACGTTTTATGGGATCGGAAGCTTGATTTATGCAACACGGATACCGGAACGATGGATGCCGGGGAAATTTGATATCGCGGGTCACAGTCACAATCTTTTTCATGTGCTGGTGGTGGCCGGAGCTTATACTCATTATCGGGCGGGATTGGTATACCTGAAATGGCGGGATATCGAAGGGTGTTGATCGGACAAGATTTCGAATAAAATTTGCAGACATTGATGTATGCCGTAAGGTGGTTCGGTGGTTTGTTGTATAGTTTCGAAGGTCTGCACAGGAATAAAATGCAACTTTTAGGGTTTAAACAATTTGATGATGTTGGAAAGACGATGTGATCTTGTTACATACATGAAATTCCATCACGTTTATTAGACGTAAAAAAAAATATCTGGTAGATTATTTTACATGAATCAGGGACGTTTCAATCTTTTTGGAGGTCCTGTTACTTTTAAAGTTTTGATTACACTGTAAAATGAGATAACAAAGATGTATATATACAAATTACAGAGACGATAATGAGGTGTATTACTTTTGTTTTCTGATAGAATTTAGAGACACTGAGATCGGTATAATTTTACATTCATTGATGAAAGGTGTTAAATAATGTAAAATTGGTTCCAAAATTTTGGGTGCCATGTTCGTAATCACACATTGCTAAAGAACGGGGTCTGATAGAATTTAAATTTATAAGAACAAACAATTGTACGTCTTATATGAATTTTTCTATTTGAATGATTTAGTTACTGATTTTTTTTAATGAAAAAATCATTGATTTTTTTTATTAAAATGATTTAAGTCATTGAATAATTTTACCGTACCAAACCCTAAGGCATCGTTTAGCAAACATAAACTTGTTTTGGGTATACGTTTGACATAAGCTGACTTATTGAGACGCTACTTGGAGTAGTTTATAAGTAGTTTTTTTGTCACTTTTTCCAGTTATAACCATCTTTAATATTAATTATTATTTATTACCATTAATTATAAATAAATATTAATTATCAATAAATAAAGTAAAATTTAATTATTAATAAATATTATACGTTAATATTAATTATTTAAAATTATTTTTATATTATTATTCTTTGATTATTATTCAATATATTTAGTTATCAAAAAACAAATATAACAATTATAATAATGTTTATATAAGTTAAATACAAACTAAATTTATACTTATTCATAGCTAATAAAATTCAATAATTTTAGTTAAGTAAATAATTAACTTATCAGTTATAGCTTTTGAAAACTTATTAATTAATTACAGATATGTGAGGTTGACCCAATTTATTTTTATTTACATTATATATAATGGTTATTTAAAATCATAAATTAATGTAGAACTTTTTCTAAAATTTGTTTTAACAAATTCAAAATTTACGTTTTACGATATATATATATATATATATATATATATATATATGCGCAAGTAACTATATTGTGAAGACAAGTAAAGGATCAAGAGTAAAAAATACGTCTATTATAGAGTTGAAATAAGACAAAAATTTAGGGAAAAAACCCCATTGAACTTTTATGTTTTAAATGATTTAGATACTCAAACTTTTTTTTAATGAAAAAACAATTGAACGTTCTTTCTCCAATGTCGTAGCCCTCACTCCTCCATCATCGTACACTCTCTACCTAATGTATGGAGAAAGAACTACCTAATGATAGTGGGGACAACGGGGAGTGATGCCATTGAAGACAAAGGGCTTGAATGATGTTAGGTTGGGAACTGAAACATCGATATATATATATATATATATATATATATATTATTTTTTTACTTTAAAACCTTTTTATATACATGATTTTTTTTTTTAATTAAAATAATATAGATGATCAATTTTTAACTCTAATAATTTATTTATTCAAAATAAATGTTCAAAAAATGTTGAACTTTTTAAACTTTTCCCTTAAAATAATATAATTTTTTTTTTAAAATAAATTGATTTGTCAGAAAAAGACATGCTCTCGTTGAGAGTCGAACTCAAGACCTCCCGCTTACTAAACGGGTGCTCTAACCAACTGAGCTACGAGAGCTTCTTGTTACTATTTTTGTTTCAATATATAATCATCTCAACTTTATTACTTTTATTTATATTTTTAAAGTTTATAAAACTTAATAATTTTTTCAACTTGCCTAGACTCCCCCCGTTGATTACCAATCACCTTCCAAACATATGTTATTTGACACGTCATACTCATATACAGGGGCGGATCCGGCCTTTAAGCACAAGAGAACCAAAAATTTTGTTGACGAACTTAAATTTTCTATTTTCACCCTCATTTTACATGGTTTCCCCTCAGTCCCATATGCTTCCCTCCCCAAGTCCCATCCAACGTGCCCCCACCCCATTAATCTCGTGAATCCGCCACTGCTCGTATGGTATGTCTAATATCCAAATCTAGAAATATTATACAGTGAAGTATTTGGTTACTGAAGAATCCAAATTCTAGAAGTTGATAAATTTTTCGAGAGGAAATATCCTTTCTCCATATTTATGAAGCTATCCTTTTTCTTTTGTTAAGCTTTCTACATGGTTATACTTATACCTCTTGAAAGAACAATTGCAATATCACATATGCAATAGCTATTCATTCTAATATTGATTAGCTGATGTGGGATCCCAACAGTTTAAACACATGATCATTGTCTCAGCCTTGTATTGCATTGCATTACATTACATTACCTTCTAATTGTCCCAATAGTTTCTAAGCTGTGACATATGCAAAAGAAGCTCATCCCTACCCAACCCAGTGGCACTGCTAGTCATTATCCATGGAGGTTGAATCTTGTAATTTTCTTTTATCAATTCTTGAAAACTCTTGATATTCTCGTCCGGGCGCTGCCCCTTGCTGTTCTTCGATTTATCGCATTTTGTGAACACAATCGTCATTGGAATCTGAAATTCGTAATGGAAAAGAATCAGACCTGAACTGGCTATAATATAATGTGGATGATATGTGGCCAAAATTTGATTGAAAGAAAATGAATCATACGTTGTTTCGTCCAAGCCAATTAGCACAATCAAGATCGATCTTTTTAGTGGGGACATTGGCATCGACAAGAAGCAACACGCCTACCAAAGTTTCTCGATTTAGAAAGTAACCTTTGGTGAACGATGACCAATCCATTCTTGCAGATTCGGGGGCGTTTGCGAACCTGCACACTCAACAAACGAAATATAGAGCTTAGATGGTAGCAAAAACATCTTTCATATTCAAATCCTGCCATCTACATATGCGCTTGTGGCCACTGAGAGATATACCTCAGGGCGCTGTGGGACGCCTACAGTCGCGACTTGCCATTCTTGGCGAAGTCTCGGATCACCCATTTCCAAAAAAACATCTTTCATATGCTAGTTTTTCTTAAATATGTTCATACATTGAAGAATCCGTTCAATAAGAGAGGAAAACTATCATTGGTGAAGTTGTAGATCGGTTTATGGTTCAAATCAAGTTCCATATCCAACATAAATAGTGTGATTTCTTTCAACTTTGCTCTAAGGGTGTGTTTGGTATGCAAACTAGACAATACTGGATGGGACATGTGAAAGTAAGTTAGGTGGGTGAAAGAATTATAGAAGGTTTTAGCGCTTTAATTTGATGTGTGTAGTTTAGTAATTTAATAATCTTGTCTAATCTCCTTGATTTTCGTTCCACCTATTTTAGTGGGACAAAAAAATGCATTTTTGTCCCGCTCAGTCCCATCCTGTCCCATTAATAATGTTGCTTTAAATGTGTGACAACATGTTTTTGTTTTATTCTGTCCTATTCCACATACCAAATGCACCATAACAGAACTGAAAAGAATTCTTACCGGTTCCCTCGAAAAAACCAAATGGCAATCAAGGGTAACCCATTTTTCATATTTATACTGAAGAGTAGCAATCTATTTGCTAGATCTGCTTCCAAAACTGTGATATTGAGAACCGATGGAGTAATATAGCAATGACAATTAGGTTATTGATTATTCTCTGTTTAACAAAATAATATCAAGAAAAATAGAAATGTTATGGAGGGTTTAAAAGTCATCRGTGCTGGAACTGCTACAATTGCTTTAGCTGGAGCTGCATTCGGAATTGAAAAGATATTCAGTTCGTTATATCAAAGATGCTTCACTAGGTTTTGCTAATCATACCACGGTCTAATTTACAGCGTAAGAGCGCCTTTACCAACACAAATTGGGTAAGTGCTAACTGGGTAAGACTACGGTCGGTTTGGTCTGGGTAAGAGCTGACTGAGTAAGAGAGTCTTTCCTTCTTTACCAAGTCAGATCTCAGTTAGCATCATTTGTCGGTCAAATGTATGGTAAACAGCCTCACATCTTACCAGGTAAGCGTCTCTTATCCACTAAGAGGCAGTCAGCAATTGGTAAACAGTTAAATCTCCATAACAATAACAATAACGAATCTTTCCCCTCGCATCTAGTTCGTGACCCAACGAAGCAAATGCGATTCTAATACCATGATGAAAATGAAGCTAGAAGTTAAGCTTACCCATAACCAGGTAAATCCACAAGGTACCAACTTTTATTCACCAAGAAATGATTGATGAGTTGAGTCTTCCCTGCAATCCAAACACCATAGCTCATAGCATAATCATTTAAATCTATATAACAATCACATAAAGATTCAAATAATCACGAATGAAATTAAAGGGAAAACCTGGTTTTTTGGAAGTGAGAGCTACTTCTTTCTTGCGAACAAGGGAGTTAATTAAAGAAGACTTGCCAACGTTGGAGCGACCCAGCATAGCAAACTCGGGTCGGTCGTCTTTAGGGCAATCCTTAGGTCGAACACTACTTCCCATAAATTCCACCTCTTTGACTTTGGCATCGCCCACGTAAGGCCCTAGAACGATGTTGGACCCAGGTAATATCATGTCCTCGGTGACTTCTTCCGGGTCTGTTCCGGGTGGGATAAACAAGATGGTTCGGACGAATTTGGCAGTGTCGGAGATGGAGATTTTGGGCGTTTTAGTGGCGGAGACATGGTGGGGTGGAGCAGAGTGAGAGAGGGAGCTTCTGAAAGGGAGTGCAAAAGGGAGAGAAGATGAAGAAGATGATGGAAGGAGTGAAGAGATGCGAAGGTTAAAGAGGCGAGTCCTCACCGGCATTAACATCATCGATTGTATCTCCAGATAATTGAACAAAAGCCAACAAATTCTTGAAAAGTTCAGATCTTTATTTTAGTTGAAAAATATCATTTTGGTGTTGCAAAGCACTGCTATAAACTAACTCCCAAACAAGCTTTTAGGGGTTGTTTACCAACAAAAAGAAAATCATGTAGATGCTAACAGGGTCAGAGGATCAATCAGTAAGAGCTTTGTCTGGAGTGGTAGCTCACTGAAAAACGTCTGTGTACCAAGTACTTTGTAGTAACTAGTAAGCGCTGCTGAATGCAGAAAATTGTTATTTTACTCGTCTGTATGATTAAGTGCTAAATAAATATAACTGTTTACATAATCAAGTGCTGAATGACAGAAATGTGCAAGTTTCATAATTTAAATGTATTTTGACAAGAAAATATATTGCAATTCATTCATATTTCAATACAGGTAGAATCTTAAATCAATGCTAATAGTAGGATAATATCCATCATAGACAAACAAATGATACAGGTGTTCAGAAACATCATCATGCTATCAGAAATACAGATTGATATACAAAAAAGTTAACAGGATCAAACATGATTTAAATTTGAAGCAACAAAGAATCTCATGTGTTGAAAACCCCTTATTGATCAAGAAGTATAACAAACTTCACAACTTGTATGCTGGCAAATTAGTTTAATTTATTATATTCTCACATGTCCATTTTATAGTATCAAATTGATTGCAAACTGGTTCCATTTATGCAGAAAAGTAGTGCGATCTTGATTTATTGGTACATTCATATGACATTGAGCTCCAAACATGATCATTCTAAGAAGAAAAAAGAGGCAATTTGAGTTCATGTTTGAACAAGACATCATTCAGTCATTTGGGCATTTTATCAAACATCTTGTGTGCAGATACCAGGTATGCCGATTACACCCATTCCATCAGTAAACTGAGCTACTGAAGTACAAAGTTAATCAACAAAGGTCAAATAGTTTCTAGTAAACAAAACCCAGAGAGTAAAATGATTATAAATTACAACCAACGAGTAAAAAGCAAAAAAAAAAAAAGAAATCGAATAGAAAAGCAGATAAAGGGGATGTACAAATCGAGAAGGTACTTGCCTACTGGGTGATGAGAGATAACGGCGATGCTGACGAGGCTGATGGACGACGAGCGTCGATGAGGAGACGTCGGAGGCGAGCTGTGTTGGAATTATGAGAAAGGCGGAGGGAAAGATATAGCCGATTTTGCGGCAGACGTGAGAGAAACAGATGGTGAGGTTTTGTCTTTTAGCGGAAAGACACGGTCACTGTTAAGTATTTCATATACACATCCGTTTTATCTTTGCTTGTTAGTGGCTGTTTGGCAGTTGCTGAATGGTTTTGTGCAGAATGGTTAAATGGTCAGAATGGTTAAGAGGGTCAGAATGGTTAAGTGCTGAATGAAATATGGTTGTTTGGTAAATGTTCTCTGAATGATAACAAATTACCATTTTAACCCTCTGTATGATTTAGTACTGAATGAAATATAGTTGTTTGACAGATATCTGAATAAAACAATTACTTTGTAAATGTAACTACATATTTCATATTAATTCAAACAAACATAACATTACTTGTTCAAAACAAGTTTTCATATTAATCAAATACAAACGTATCAAACACTCATATTCCTTGCAAACATTGGTAAATTTGACTAAGGGGTTGTTTGTTTGGCTCTTAATGGTGACATTAAGAGCCAACCTCTGAATCAGTCAGAGGTGAAATGTGTTTGGCAAAAAAAAAATAGACCTCTTAATCGTTACACAGACCTCTTAACCATTTTGAGGGTCGGGGGCTACTCAACCATTCAGAGTACCATTTCTTCCATGAATACCCTTCCCATCGTCTCCCCAAGTCGTCTCCCCAAGTTATCGCCTCCCCCATCTTCTCCGGCGCCGGTGTCGTCGGTCGCCCTTTCCACAGCCCCTTCGTCTCCCCAAGTCGTCGCCTCGTCGGTTCCCGTCCTCCATCTTCGTCGTTGGTCTCGCTTCTGTCAGTTAAGCCCCTTCGTCCTTCGGTCTCGTCGGTTCCCTTTTGTTTTGTCGCCGGTCGTTAGTCGGTTTAAGTCGCCGGTCTTCACAGAGGGAACGATGGAGGGATCGATTCTTCACAGAGGGAACGATGGAGAGATCGATTGAGGGAACGATGGAGGGATCGGTTGAGGGAACGATTGAGGGAACGATTGAGGGGCAACGATTGAGAGGCAACGATGGAGGGATCGATTGAGAGGCAGCGATTGAGGGATCGATTCTTCACAGAGGGAACTTTGAGGGAGCCCTAATGGTTAAAATGGAATAATGGGTTTTTGTTAGAGAGGGTTAAAATGGTAATTTATTATCATTCATAGAACAGTTACTAAAAAACATTATTTCATTCAGCACTTAACCATTCTGACCCTTTCAACCATTCTGACCTCTTAACTATTCTGCACTAAATCATTCAGCAACTGCCAAACAGCCCCTAAAGGACCATCATTTCAGAAAATCAAATAGGTAAAGATCAAAACAAGAATCAAGGGACCATAGATGAAGTAATAGAATGTCACAAGATAGCCATAGCTCATAAGTTCACCAAGCTCCCTGTTAGCCAGCATGTAGGTATAAGCCATCACATCATAAGTTCTTGAGCAAGATTCAAATGTTCATTATCTTTATCAAATAATCGCAATGCTTATCCAAGAAAATTAGCAGCATCTATCTATATTCAGTTCAAATAAAAGGCTTTTTGAATTAAGAAACAAACAATAGCCAATTTAACAATGTATATACAAAGAGTGCAGACAATTGAACATACCCATGGGCTTTCCACCAATCTCAACATCAAAATAAACCCTATGTAACTTCATCTAGATCCCCTTCTGGTCCCTCTGCCTAATAAGCAATCATCAATGCACATATATCACTAAGCTATAAACCCTAGTTAAATCATCAATAATCCATAATCCTGTTACAATTGTCCTATCAAATCCCAGTACTTTGAATCGACTCAAAACTAGTCCAAATAGAAAGGTAATTATCATGAATAACCATGTGGAAAAATAAATGGAAACGCCACAGCTTGCAACATCGTAAGGATATACATCGACACATAAAAAGGAAGTCAAAGTAGCAACTTATGGCACTGCAAAAACATGCTGCAATCATATATAATTATGATATATTAATTTTGATAAGTTGGATTCCTCAACCTGTTCTAGGTAATTAATTTTATACACATACAAGCTAATATCATATCTTATGCATATAATGTATGTATATATATATATATATATATGTATGTATGTATGTATATTAAAAAGCTCCTTTATACGAAGAATTTACATGATTTCTGAGAACTTGTTACTCTTTTGGGATTGCAAGTTTAGCGTCTGAAACTTGCTCGAAAGCCTTTCGAGCTGTGACCATAACAACGTTCCTAGCGAAAATCTTGCCGGCCTTTCTTCTTCCCTGTCGTTATTACTTGACGGTCCAGTAGCCAACCAATTCGACGATGAWTCACTTGCCACCAAGACCATTCCCCCAAGCTTCTCGATTTCTTTCTTCACTGCTTCCACCATGCCATGATCCACATTGTGTCCATGAGCATCGGTCACATGAAAYGACCCAACCACCCTTTCTCCATGTGTTCGGATCTCGGCCCTTGCGATCGAGAGCCCGTTTTCACAAAACACTCGGGTGACATCCGATAGCAGTCTTGATCTATCGCGACTCCTGATATCTAGTCTCAAACCCTATAACAGATTTCACGTTAGAGCATCAAATACATTTAAATATCATAATAGACTCATTTATAGGACCAAACAATTGTATATAATCCTGAGTAAAAGCACTACAATAACAAAATTTTCAGAATATTTTCTATTAGTTTCTTTTAGCATAAATGTATTATGAACATATATTTTTATTGGATACTTTTTTAAATAATGTGATATAAAAAACTAAATAAAGTGTCTTAACAAACATGTTAGAACACTAACTTATTGCAACACTTTTACATATGATATATAATTATTTGATTCTATAAACTTTAATTTTATAGAACACTGTGTCAGGACATTTAGACATAATTGGCGGCCCATAAAACTGATTTTAGTGTAGTATAACTAGTTTGGTGTAGACACATACATGCGATACTCTTCGTTCTACTGCTGCAATTATGCATCGGGTGATCGCTTGCCGTTGAATCTCCGAGTTTAACGTAGGCCCGTCTTTCTTTCTTATGTAGTACTCCTGTAATTTTGATCTAAAGAAGGTTAGTTAAGGGTTTAACCAAATGTAAGTAGGGGTTGTTTGACAGAGTTACTGAATGATTTGATGGTCAGAATGATTAAAAGCTCTGATGATATAGTGCAAAATGAAATATAACTATTCTGTAATTATTTACAACGAAATTAAGACATTGAATGGTTAAGAAAGACCCATAACATAAAATCATTCAGAGAGTTTTAAAACCATTAAAAGACAATTTTTTTTGCCAAACAAAATCCACCTCTTAACAATTTAAAGACTGTACTCTTAAACGAAACTAATATGTACCTGAAAAGCAACAGATCTTTTAGAGCTAACTGTAGCATGAAAAACCACATAATGCAGGTCCGTGAGCGCGCAAACTGTGTCAAATAGCAACTTCGGCCGGTCTCGGCTCGTTATATTCAGAACCAAATACGCTTTTTCTCTGCAGTTTTCAATCGTAACTACTGTCTCATAGCCTTTTGTACCATATGTAGTCTCTTCGTAGTCTTTATCGGCCATCATTAGCTGGTGGAGCCGTCTCTCGGTGTGGGTTTGACCCGTGGTTGGGCCGGTCAACCTGAGGCTCCATCGTTGGCGATTGGTGTGGTGAGCATCGACCACAGTTACTAGTTGGGCTTGAACTCGGTCCGCCCTATGAGGGTCCATGATGGAGCCAGGGTTCGAGTCATCTTGTACATGCATGATGCAAGCGGCTCGTGTGTTGTGAGTCCATGCCACTGCAGCAGAAACACGGCATTTTAGTTCCGCCAGTACGGCCGATATCTCCGACAACAGGCCCGGCCGATCGGTTGATGTCATCTCCAGGGTCGTATGCTCCATCCATTCGTGGTTTGTTCTGATTTGTTTGCTTATACTTGTTTTTAGTTGTGTGTTCCCTCTCCTAATTGCACATATTGACTACACAAAGTTAAAAAAATGTCATCTTACGTCAATTTATTGGGTTGCTTTGGTTGTATAAATGTCACGGGTTGTATTTGAAACAATATATATATATAAATTACTCTATATATTGTACTAAGGGACTTGAAACGATAGAAACCTGTTGTATGTAACGTATAACATTTTTGTCTGTAATCTTATCACCGAGTTGATCAGTCACATGGAACACTATACACAAAAAGGACAATGTGAGTTTACATGAACATATATAGTCATAAGAGGAAATGAAAAGGATTAGGGTCGATGACTAACCATCCATGAACCAACGACCATCTGAACAAATGTACGATTTGGAGATCACAAGGTCAAGATCTGTCAACTCTTGCACCATATCTAATAATATCCCGTGCTTGTTCGCGCTATCCACCTTCGTCATCGAAACAATATCAATTATCCAAATTCCAAATCATTTTTTGATTTAAATATTTAATTTTAATTGCAATGAGAATTTTTCATTATTTTAAAAAAAGAAATATTAAATAAAAGCAAAAGTAAATTAAAAATAAATGATAATAAAACAAAGTTCAAAAAGGAAGCCATTGGTATGTGTTGAGGGTCAATTTTTGCATCTTTGAGTGGCTTCTTTCCCACTTGGGTGGGTGTTTTCTTTCTATTCTTCTTTGAAACATAAATTGTGAATCAATTTCAATTATTTAATGAGTTTTATTTTAATTTAGGATTTTATTAGGGACACAGACAATCTATTGATCGACGTAGGTCAAGTGCACACCATCAGGTTCATTCATGTTTATTATCATATGTGATATAAGTGCTCTCATGTTTTTGTAAAATGACGATGTTCTCGTTAATTTGAACTCACTCTTCTTCTTCTCCTTCTCTCTCTTTCTATCTATATATATAGATACATATATATATACAAAGAGAGAGAGAGAAGTTCCGTAAGAACCCAAAATTGATTAGAAACTTGGGAACCATCAACGATGCGTCATGTATCCTTCATCATTAATAACACATTCATGATGAATATGAATGTGTTATTCATTATGAATAACACGTCTATATTCCTAATGAATATGCCACATGTCGCATTGTGAGTGTTTCCCAAAATCCTAATCAATTTAAAGTTTCTAAGGGAACCTGTCTTTATACACACACACACGTGCACATACATACATACATATATAAGTGAAGGATCATATGATAAGAGAAGTTATGGTGAGAATCATAAGAAAAGATCGAAACCTTTGAGCACTTTTATTCTCATGTTCACCCATGAATTATGCTTTAGAAAAGAATTGATCTGATACATCTCGATACATCTCATTAGTATTGATATTCAATTAGAACTGACAAAATGATGGAGAGCTCTTCTTACTTTTCTCACCATACACCTTTAATTTGCAAATAGATGGTACATAATTTTATATTTATAGTCCAACCAAAAAGGTTACCACCATAATTCCACATGATGGCCACCTCCTTCCGTAAATGCCTTGCCTTGGGCGTGCCCACCCGGGTTTGATTCCATGGAAGGACAGGTTGTCTTTTCCGGTGCTTGCTTATAAGGTATGGCAAGTAGGGTTCACAAAATGTGGACCACGGGGCCATGAGGTCCCCGCCATTAAACCTTTTTTTTTTATAATTCCACATGGTTGCTTAATTCAATGGAAACCACATTTGAACCTTCCTATGTCCTTTTCATATCTTTGCTGAGACGATCTTGATACCCTCTTTAACCCTTTAAAAAGACATATTTTTTATAAATGACCCAACTTTTTTGTCATCAATTGATGTAATATATTTAATAACTCCTTAAACAACTGAGCTCATCAATCTTGAAATCAGATATAAAATAAATACCCTTTATAAATCATTCATCTTTTTGTGGTCATCGACTGATGTTTTGATGATAACCCATTAAAAAAGAAAAAAGATTGAATCTTTTCAAAATCATATAATTTACATCACATTTGATTTGAGGGGTTTAAAGACCGAGACTTTTTTGAAGATATGGATATCCTCTAAATCGATCGAACAATTTTGCAATTAAATATGTTATTTAGAAAAAAAAAAAAAAAAAAGTCCAGTCTTGATATGAATGAGTTACCTTCACAAGGGTGCAATCTTGATATGAATCATTATCAATGCAAACCCTGCACAACACTCACAAATTTGAACTTTCAAGACTTCTATATAAAAATTAATTATATCAGAACATGTATAATGCAGTCGAATGTAAAATAAACCTGTTATCAGATGATACTTTCATATATCTCAAAAATTATGTTGTTTATTTAGTTGATAAACGTAGTACTAGTTTCAAAAAATTCCATTAGCATTTAAAGAAGGGAAAAATTTATGATAATCTATGTTGACAAAATATTCATAATTAATAACATCTATCATGAATATTCATAAAATATGTGGTTTATGTATTCTTAAAATATTTAAGATTATTAAATTAACATGTCTTTCTACATATCAAGTATAATAGCAATGAATTAAAATGACTAAAAATTTAAATCGAACCTTGGAGGGTGGATTCTATCAACGAGCAATTCGAGCTCGGGATCAACATAAGGTCCATAACCCAAGTCCATATCTTCTTCGTAATCAGCTTTATTTTGCTTACAAAATTCGATTCACCTACGAAACACATACAAAAATAACTAAGGATTATGTATTTTTTGAATCTAACTTTAAAGATTGTCGTGTTTCCTATTAAACCCTCGTCTCAAATGGTTTCACAATCAACTCCAAGAAAACCAATTTTGGAAAGAGCGATTAAACTCGATCGAACACAATTAGTTTGAGAAATTAAAGAAATTCATATATACATATATATATATATGTATATGTATCTATATATATATATGTGTGTGTGTGTGTAATATATACCATAAGATGGAAATAATAGAAGATGAAGAGAGTGCATACCTGGGGAGCGTTTCTCCGATAAGTTCACAATTCACATGGAGATACAATTAAGTGTTTCGAAAACGAAGAAGTTCCTTAAAATGCGTGTGTATGTGTGTGTGTTTTTGGGTGGGTGTATATATATAAAAATATATAATATATGTGTGTGTGAAATATATAATATATGTGTGTGTGTATATATATATAGAGAGAGAGGTGTGTGCAAGCAGCCAAGGGTCCACGAGTCATAAACTAGAAATAAAAGATGTTGGGGTTTCGGGATTTGGATGACGCTCAAACTGTCCTGAATTTAAGGTATTTGGATTTTGTGATTAATTAATGGCATGTTTATCACGTTGAAACCTTCTCGAATTTACGTATATCTCATCATTTTAAAGAGATATTAAGGATATGGTTAATGTATTATTAGAAGGATACTCGCATAATGTAATCAGATATATCTTGATTTTAATGTTTGGTTTTATTTATTTTTTGTCTATGTTGATGTAATAATACAGTTTATGTGGTTTTGAGAAAGTGATAATGTTTTATTTTTGAATAAAATATAAATATGAAAATATTATAAAATTTTGAAAAAAAAAATATTGATATTAGTATCAAACTAACTATTTAGAAAAAAAAATTGTGTGTAATTTCTTTAATTTATTTTTTATTATAATTTAATTTAGGTTTAATAATATAATTTTTTTATTAAGATAATAATTAGATATTTTGTTAAAACTCAATAATTATCTTAATTATATTTTAGATTTTTTATATTTTAAAATGAGATGTTTATCCTCTATTTGATTATGTTTATCCGCAGTTAGTTACACGAATTCAAACATAAAGCTTTAATAACTTGTACTTATGCATAATTTACTTGTAATATTGAATTTTAAGTAAAATGCATCAATAAACAGTACTTCATGCATAAAAAAAGGTTTTAAAGAGTTTTTGTCAAATGTTTTATAATACTATGCGTTTGGTGTGCAGACAGGACTGGACAGGACAGGACAGGACGGGACGGGACAGGACAGGACGGGACGGGACATGACAGGACAGTTGTTCAGCGTTTGGTAAGACAGGACAAGACAGGACAGAACTGGTTAAAATGACCAATTTACCCCCCAGTGAGCTGTTTAGTGTTTTTTCACTACGAAATGCATTCTGGTAACACTGGTCCTACTACCACTACAGCCCTAATAAATACCAACAACAATTAACAGCAATAGGAAACAACAAAATCAAACAGCAACAGCGATAGAAACAACAACCTAATCGAGGTTTATGCTAAACATTTGATCAAACAGCAACAACAACAATAAGCCCCAAAATCAACATAGATTTTGATGGAAAACAAAACCCATGTCCAAATTGAAGTAATAAATCAAGAAAAGCGATGAACAGCTACAATTTGTAGGTTTGTGTGTACCTTTTAGGGGGCGATGCAGTTTTGAGATTGAATTGGATTAGGTCGTCGATGAACAGTGGCGATGAACAGTGGCGAAAACCAGGTCGTCGTCCGTCGATTGGAGATGGAGGTCGATGCTGTGAAGAAATCGATGGAGATGGAGGTCTCCAGTGAAGAAATCGACTCTCCAGTGAAGGTCGCCGTCGATGGCGTTGATGAAGGTAGCCGTCGATGGAGATGGAGGTCGCCGTCGATGGAGTTGATGATGGTCGCCGTCGAAGGAGATGGAGGTCGCCGTCAATGGAGATGGAGGTCGCGAGGAGATGGAGGTCGCGAGGTGATGAGCCGAGTAGGGGAAGAAGGGGTAAAGAGGGAAAAAGCTTTGTGTTCCACTTAGTTCCAGGGGTAATGGTGGAACACGCGTGTCCCATGTGTGTCCAAGTTAGTTCCACTTAGTTCCACATTTAGCTACACCAAACGTAGGACAAATGTGTTATGTCCTGTCCTGTCCCACCCTGTCCAGCGTACCAAACGCACCCTAAGGGTACTCGTGTAATACAGCGAGATAAATCTCGATTTTAATGTTTAGTTTTTATTCTTTGTCTCTATTGATATAATAATAATGTGATTTTATGTGCTTTTGAGAAAACGGTAATGTTTTTATTTTTTAATGAAAAATAAATTTGAAAATAAATAAATCAATGTTAGTATCAAATTAACTATTTAATAATAATATAATTTTTTATAAAGACAATAATTAAACATTCTGTTATAACTTAATGATTATCTTAATTATATTTTAGGTTTTTTATATTTAAAATGATGTTTATCATGTATTTAATTATGTTTATCCCTAGTTACTTACACGAATTCAAGCATGAAACTTTAGTAAGATGTATTCATGCATATTCTGCTTGTAATCTTGAATTTCAAGTGATATGCATCAATAAACAGTACTTTATGCATAAAAAAATTGTTTTTAAGAGTTTTAGTTAAATGTTTTATAATATAGTATAGATATAGATAGTATAGATAAACTTGAATTTATTTAAACTGATCTTGTTAACATACAATAGGTAAAAAATATTTAAAAAATCTTTTCAATAAACCATTCTAATAGTCCGAAATTCCGAACCCAAAATGAAGTGTTTGTGTGGAACCCAAATGACTCTGAAATTCGAAATTCCGGAACCCGACTTTTTGGGGGATATATGCATTTTGGTTGGGTTTGATTTTTTTTCTTCTGACCCATCTGAAAACCTGAAATATATGTATATGTATGAGGAAGGATCATGTGAGAAATTAAAACATTTTGTGAGAAGACTGAAAGTTTTAATATCAATATAATTACACTCCTTTGGTGTGTGTAATCATATATGGTTAAGCATCTATATGTAGTCAATGCAACACGTATTTAATTATATATAATCAAACTTGTGTGTCATGCATGTAATCATATATAATATTGAAACTTCTTATCTTCTCGTAAAATTTTTAGCCTCTCATTTGAACTTCCCCCGTGTGTGTGTATATATATAATTTCTAGATATTATATAAATACATTTATTTGTCTAATTTATCCTTTAACAACTCTAAATTCTAATCGGTCGTATTTTTTTTAAATACTAAAGGGGTGTTTGGAATTGCTTATTTGAAACAACTTAGTTTTTCTACAAAAGTTCTTATCAACTTATAATAAGTTAGTTAGGTTAACTTTTTCAAAAACTTCTTATTACCAGTTTGACACCGGTATAAGTTGTTTATCCAAACACTCAAAAGTGTTTATTACCGATGTCACACCGGAATAAGTCAATAAGTTGTTTTTATAAATAATATCCAACACCTTCTAAACCTAATTAATTTCATCAATTCTCTCATTAAATTCGTCGTCAAAATAGATTGAATATTATATATTTTTTAAATATAACTATATCTAATATCAGTTGACCTGAACCTGAAGCAATCTAAAATTCGAAACCCTCAATTTAGGGTTTGGTTTCTATATCCAAAATCTGATCAGATTTTTTGTTTGTCCATCCAAACCTGTCCGACTTGTATAATGTGCACCCCTTCTTTTCGGTTCCAAGATATATAAGAATTATATATTTTTAGCTAATAATAATAATTTTATTCGTAATAAATTTAATTAATTAAAATTAAAAATAAATAAATACTTTAAAACAGATAAAAACAAAAATACAAACACTTAGGGCTTGTTTGTTTTTTGAAAAAAACCATTTAATGCCTCTTAAGTCTGAACCGGTCAGACATTTTTATTTTCAGACCGTTTGTTTTTTTATATAAATAACAGCTGAAAAACTCTTAATTTGCTTTGAAAAAAAAGTGATAACATAATCACTTAAATCCTCTTACTCGCTCCCTCCAGACTCTCCCCTCCATTCTCACCTCCAGATTTAGTCCTCCAAATTTATCTTGCAAGACATTCGATCTCCAAATCAATCACGACCCAGATCGATCCACATATTCTCGTAAAATCATGACCCAGATCGATCCAAATCTATCAGAYCCAAAACTTGACTGATTCAGATTTCAGATTTCAGACGTAAAAACAAACAGTCTAACTAATTCAGATTTCAGACTTCAGTACTACCTTTTAAAATTCAAAAATGAAATCAGACTTCAGACTTCAAAACCTCTTAAAAAACAAACGTCATCTTATTATAAACTTGTTTAATTGTTTCAAAGAAGTAGCATAAATATAGTTATATACGTGTGGCTTCTGGAATATGACGTGTATATATGCGGCTTGGCGGCGCCTTCTCTGCCGCTAACACGTGTCTTTGTTTGGATGAGAATTGCAAGACACTCAACTTCTAGGGTCAAATTTGTAATTCTCCTAAAGATTGAGGGGTTACATTTGAAATCTCGAAAAGTTTCCATATCTTATCTTTGACTTCAAAATTTCCAGTCAAAACTTTCTTTAAAAAGAAGAATTATGAATTTAAAGTTTAACAATAATTTGGAGAAAAGTCTTTAAAAAATACCCAACATTTTCACATTTTAAAACGTAAAATCCTTAAACTATTTTTCGATAAATAAATATTTAAATTTATTAAAATTAACCAAATAAATCTTTAAATTTATTAAAAACCCAGAAAAAAACCTGATGTACATTCATATTTTGAATGGTTATGTCTTAAATATTTTTTTGAAAAAAAAAATAATTAATATAATGAAATCGAATAAATAAATACTTAAACTTAGATCGAACAATCGAATCCTTGAATTTACTGAAACCAAAAAATAAACCAAACTATTTTTAAACGTCTGTTTGAATGAATAAATCTGTATACTTACATGAAAAAAAAGATATACCATTTTTCGTTTCCATGTATCAATAAATTAATAGAAAAGTACAGCGAACTAATGATATAAAATAAAATAAATACTCCATTTTTTATTAATAATAAAATATAATTATCTTGTAATAAAATCAGCACAAATCAAAACAACAACAATGTCCTAAAAGAAA